TTCTTGTTGTATCAGTAATAACATCAATCAAATTTTTCAGCCATTCTCTTCCATCAGCAGGTTTTAATGGGTACGCAGACTCAGTAGGGACAACATGAAATTGTTTCAGTGGTGGGGCAAGATTTCAAACGATCAGTTTCATATGTTCAATTGCTTTATCAAATTCGTGATGAGGGATTGCCGAGACTGATGGTTCATCAACAAAGGCAACCCCAACACCAAAAACGGGTAACGCTCGTCCCCACTGGCTTCAAAATTCTTCTGAGCTTTATCCTGCATCTCGCTTGCAAAGTGAAGAGCCACTGGAAGGAAAATCCCATTATATCATGTAGTAAAATCTACTAAATTGTGTATCTTTAAAGTAATAAGAAATAAAGCTCACCTAGCTATTAATAAGGTAAACGGATAACTAACATGTACATTAACCAGTTGTAGTTCATAAATTGATCAGAACTTGTGATTGATACAAATCTAAACTACCAAATTGGTAAACGAACTGTCAAAACAGTCATACAGTTGTACTAGGGATTACTAGCAACATGCAACAGAGCCGACTGTTTCATATATGATATGCACAAAGGAAGATTGGTTGGTTAAATCATTTTGCTTCTTGAAAACAGGGTTTTAAAAAAGCCACAACTGACCAATGCCTGAGTGGTTTACTGATATCAGTTCAGGGTTAGGATTTTAAAAAATATAAGTCAATGTAAAGGACTCAGTTAAGTGTTCAAATCCTTGCTTCAACGATCCTTACATAATACTACGTACCAATTAAGAAAACAAAAAGGACACAACTTGGAGGTTCAAGGAAAAGAGGTTGTATTCCCTCGTATAATCGTGTCTTCTCTAAAAACAGTATTTTCACAAGAGAAAAACAATAGAAAACAAGTTGAATCATAGAAGCAATGAAGCACTAAAGTAATATGTACCCATAAAAAGGTTTATCTTGTTGAATATAAGTATCTAACTTATAAGCATTTACCAGTACCTGCTACTTTGGTATCCGAGTATAAGTGTATGACAGAGGAAAACTTTGAGTGATGTATATTTTTCTATGAACAATATGAGTCTCGTATATTCCTTGCCAAGGAGGATGCACTAGTTTCTTCTGGGTGAGCACTCTGTCTTCCTTATTGTTTTGAAGCAAAACAGAGCTGAGATATACACTTCTCGAAACACTCCCCATTTAATTTCATGAACTAATCAACTAAACAAACCATCAAAGATAATCTTTTTACCATTCACAAAGATAAGACCTTAAGCGCATCCCAAACTCCCAAAGTAAAAACCAGAGCATTTATTCACCAATACCCCCCACATGAGCAAGACCCGTCCTTGAAATGATGAAAGCGGCTCGAGTCTCTCAAAATGATTTCATGATCAATGATCTTAGAGATATAGATTATAGCCAAATGACAATCCCCACAAACACGCAAGTTCTTCGTTATCCTAATCGCCAACCCGGGAGCTGACGTCAAAATCCCATAAGCCAAAGCCAGCTTTTCACTGTGTTCAAAAAGCAGATCGCCTTTCTCCTCATCGTCCACGTCATGTAGGGCAAAGCTCGTTTGTGGAATGTATCCCATCCCTTTAACACGACCGATCAAATCAGCTAAGAGATTGTATATTTCCTCGGACATCGGATGCCTTCTGTCTCCCACAAAGAACACTGAAGTCCCTTTCCTTCCTTGGACCCAACTGCATCCTGGTCTCTTCTTGATCCCAGAGTGTTTCATTAGAGACCTTACACGGGCTACATCTTTCCAACGCCTGGCATTTGCATAAATGTTTGAAAGCAACGTGTACGACCCGTCATTCTCTGCTTCCAAGTATGACAATTTGGCCGCTGCGTGTTCCGCAATCTCAACGTTCTTGTGAACCCTGCATGTTAGGGGGAGTTACAAAAATCGTGTAGTTCAATTTCAATTCGTATATCAAGATTGGAATTTTAAAATATACAAGAATAAGACTCCAAACAAGAATGTGCCATTAGATATGTGTACTTTGAGAATACGAATAAGATCACACCTTGTTCGATTCTAACATTAAAAGAATATTTGAACTATACACACAACATTATTAAACATGTGGACATCCTTGAATAGTAGTCTAGTACTGATCTTCCACAAGAAATGTTTATAGGAAAAAAACATGTTTCAGCTTTGTAACACAAGTTTTAAAACAAGTTGTAATAATATTAGCTCTAGCTCATCTTTACAAACGGATAGCTATGTGCTGAAAAGAATGTGCAAATTTTGATATTCAAATAATAAAATATGAATAATGATATAAACACGTATTAGAATAAAATGAGAATATACATAATTGATAATACAATATAGCGATATTCAATCTATATGCATCCCAACCTGCAAGCACTCAACAAAGAGAACCAAATTATTGAGGTGGGCACTCCAGGCATATCATGTATCAGCTCCAACGCTTCATCCAAACGACCGGCACGGCCCAAAAGGTCAACCATGCAAGCATAATGTTCAATCTCGGGAATGACCCCGTGATCTTTTGTCATGTTGTTGAAGTAATTCATCCCTTTGTCGACCATGCCAGAATGGCTACAAGCATACAACAGGACCAAAAAAGTTACACCATCAATCTCCAAATCCTGCTGCCTCTGCATTGTTTCAAACACTCTAAGAGCGTCTTCACCCCGACCATGCATTCCGTATCCGGTCATCAGTGAGGTCCACGAAATGGTGTTTTTGTAGGCCATGATATCAAATACTGTTCTCGCAGTGTCAATGTCACCAGATTTCGCATACATGTCAATGAGACAATTAGACACGAATAACATGCATGTTTCATACTGGTTACGCAAGATGTATCCATGAATTTGCTGACCAACCCTAAGAGAAGACAAACGGGCACACGCCATCAAAGCACAGGATAGCGTAAATCCGTTCGGTATGATCAAGGAAATATTTTCCTTCACCATTGATGAGAAGAGTTTCAACGCCTCATTGGCATCTCCATGTTGTGCGTATGCACCAATCATCACAGTCCATGTCACCACATTTCGGTCTCTTGATTCAATGGCGTCAAACATGGCACGAGCCACCTCTACTTTCTTGCACTTCGCATACATGTCTATAAGACAATTAATGATCATTTTATCTTCCTCATCCTCTTCCTCAATATCATTATTCCCCTCTGAATGATATATGTGTTTGATGGCATAACAATGAGTCTCTCTCCCTTGATTCAATGCTCCAACAGAAGCACAACCAGAAAGAACCGAGGAAAGAGTAACAACGTTAGGGTTTGTCCCAGAAAGCATCATCTCATGGAAGACATTCAAAGCTTCATATCCAAGACCCCTTTGTGCATACCCTGAGATTACTGCACTCCACGTGATAACATTCAAATCGATCTCTTGTTGTCTCATTCTCTCAAACAATCCTAATGCCTCCTTGAACCTCCCTATCTGAGAGTACCCAGTCACCATTGAATTCCATGAAACCACATCTTTCACCTCCATACACTCGAACACTTTGTTGGCTTCATTCATTTGCTCAAATTTAGCATACATGTCCACCATAGCATTCCCCACGAAGACATCCTCGTATAAACCTAAACGAATGGCATACCCGTGGACTTGTTTTCCTAACCGCAATTCTCTTGAAGGAGCAAATGCGGGGATTATGTTAACTAAACTAATAACATCAGGACGCATGTTGAAATCGCATCTAGATATCATGGCGCCAAACAGGCCTAAAGCTCGCCTGAAATCTTTTCCCTGCACATAAGCTGCGACAATGGAGTTCCAGGAAATAACATCATGAATTCCTCTCACAACCGTCTCGTCGAACACCTTCTGTGCGTGAAGCAGAGCTCCACACCTCCCATACATTGCTATGAGGCTGTTGCGTACATAGACGTTACTGTCATGTCCGGTCACCAAGCAAAAAGCGTGGAGAGACTCGCCTCTAAGGAAGGAGGATAGCTCTCCACAAGCCTTGAGCACGTAAGGGAGAGTGTAGCCGTCTGGAGTCCATTGTAGTCTCAACATCTCGCGGAAGAGAGAAAAAACGTGGTCGTAGGAGTGGAGGAAGACACATCGCTTGATCAGATTGTTCCACCAGAATACAAGCTGCGAGCGCTCCATCTCCGGTTCGGCATGGAGGCCGCCGGCGATGATGAGCTTGGCCTTGATAGAAGTCTTGCATGGTTTGAGGAGGTCACAGGGAGGAAGTGATCCGGTATGTAATGCTGCTGTAGAAGAGAAGAGTTGCGTGATGGTAGAAGGAGAGCGCAGGAGGAAGGCGAAGCCTGGGTGCTTCAGACGCGGCGATGAGGGGAAGAGCATGCCCAGCATAAGCTTGTGTTATCTTCGCATCTTGCATCCTCTATTATACAATTATACAAAAGTGTTCCAGGCCAAACAGTATACAGTGTACAGTATACTCATGGGTGCATATGCGTCAAGCTAAACATGGGTGCAGATCAATAAATGCAGCCAACTTTTGTACATTAAAAAACAATTTCAACTGTCCTTTTTATCTAATGAAATTGCATTCTTGAGCCTCAAAACATATTAATGGAGCCTGCTTTTGTCTATTAAAAAATAATTTCCATTGTTCTTTTTAACTTTTAAAAATCTAAAGTAGCCTTGAGCCTCAAAAACAATTAATGCATTGCACTTGGTTGTCTATTTTTCCAGCTCAATGCACGATTATCTATTTTTCCAGCTATTCGAAATGGAGCAACATCAATTCTTGAGCCTCACAAACAATAAATGCAATGCAATATAACAAAATCTAAATGTAAAAAGATTGAGTGGGTTTTTTTAACCCTTGGTTATTAACCAATAACCAATTATAAGGTGGATAACCTTGGTTATCCACCTTATGCAACCCTCATCCCCTATAAATACGCAAGTTGTGGTAGCTGAAAACACACCACAAGCAAGCAAGCAATTCCATACATAAGATTATTTTCAACTAAGCAATGACAGGCTCACCAGGAATGTGGTCCCTTATCAGGGACATTAATCACACCAAGTCCACTTGAGCAATAAAGGTTAGGGTTGTACGAGCTTACGAGGTGCCTCCTCACTCAAGGGGAGGGAAAACATTGGAGATGGTGTTGCATGACGTTGAGGTACAGTTTATTCATGCAATAATTGAAAGATCTTTTTCGTGTTAAATACATCAAGGTGGAAAACGTGTATTGTTAATAATTGAAAGATCTTTTACATGTTTAATAGGGTGATCGCATTCACGCCATAATCAAACGACCACAACTTGCAATGTACAAGCTTATGATTGCAGAGCATAAGATTTATGCCCTAAGGAATTTTTTGGCACTAGACAATTACCAAACAGTGAAGACCACGGATCATCCTTACCTAATACGGTTCATCTCTAAAACTCAACTTAGGGAGGATGCAAAAACAGAACTGTCTATGAGGGTTTATGATTTTCAACCTTTTGATATGATGCACGCTCAAAGGGTTGTGAACGACAAAAGTCTCATTGGTGAGTATACTGATTTACCGATTTTTTGACACTCAAGTTATAGGCCTAACTTAATACCTGCCATGGGCTTGCTAACAACACTTTTCTGTTCGTTTGTGATGTTAGATATCATTGGGAAGGTTATCGCAAAAAGCGTTGTTCAAACTCATATCATCAATGGGAAAACTGAAAGGCTTATGGAACTTACACTGACTGACCCAGAGTGAGTTTAAATTTATTTCAAATCTTTATAAAGTATGAGCATGAAGACTAATATTAATGTCTCAAAACTTCTTAAAACGACAGGGGTAACAGATTGGGTTGTGTGTTATGGAACAAATAAATCAACCAGTATCTGGATTACATCAATGAGAACGAAGGAGTTCCTGTGTTTGTGATATTCCAACTTTGTAGACCTGAGAGATACCAAGGTTTCAAAAATTTAGAACATTCTTTGTTTGGAAAAATCAAGTTGCATAAGACCTCACAAAATGTTTTTAAACCTATGTAGGGACCTTAACTGTGGCCTCTTCCTTTGATGTATCCAAAATTCCAAACTTATCATTAACGGAAACACAACTGAAATACTAGAGTTCCAAAGCGAGTACGAAGAATTTAATGTTTTCAACTAATAATTATAATAAGTATTCTATCAAGATTAATAATTTTTAAATCTTTTATCAAGATTTAATATTGATCTAATAATGGAACACATGTGTTTTTTAACATTGAGACTGCTTATTCCAGAGGTAATAAGGTAAAGTGCTCATTGTGGATAAAGTTGGCATAAAAGAGCTATTTTAACATCTATAAATGATGTTGTAGAGCTTATAGTTCTGTGATTTCATTGATGCAAAGAAAAATGAAGACAATTTTAAGTTTTGATAACTCATGCTTACTTGAATGTAACATTGGTTCTAAATCCAATGAGATGCATACTCAAAGGATTTTGAACATGAATGCATCATGGATACCGAATCATAAATTGGTAAGAAGGTTGATATTCCTATTATGTTAATGAAAAACATTTACCGGTAATCTGGCTTATGTAATGAGACTCGCTTGATTATTACTCGGTTGGGTAAATGTGTTTTGGAGGTGAATGAAATATTCAACAAAAGTATTGATCAAAAGGTTTTGATTCCACAACTATTACTGGTCGCATCCGATAGCAGATTCCCTTTCAAATTTCAACGCATGTAATGAGACTCGCTTGATTATTACTCTGCATCAGGTGGACATATATGATCCAAAATCTATTTTTACGCACAATTAATTGTATGTTTCCATGTCAAGTGTCATCTAAAGTAGTGGGCTGAAGACTCATACATGTGATGATGAGAGTTGTGCTATCAACACCACTAATATTGTGGTCTATAAATATTTTTTTTAAAATTTATGAATATTTTTTGTACATTGTCAATATATATCGTTCCATATAATTTATAAAATTTCATTAGACCCACTGATAATTCTATCTCAGTTTCACTTGCAATTTATCATACAATCTAAAGTCACATCATATAAACTCTATCGTCTTTTTTTATTTAAAAAAATTACAGATTACGTACCATTGTAAAACATAAATTTATAAATTATTATTCAATTCTAGATATACCGCGTGCATCGCACGGGTACTTCGTCTAGTGTGTAAATGTATTAGCTGTTTGTTAAATAAAACTATAACAAATATCATTTACTCAATCACATGTCTAAGTTTTCAAATTTTCACACACCATTATCATTTCAGAGGCCATTAGACACCTAACAGCATCAAGTAGACCCTAAATCATTTCCCCACCTTCAAGCAAGTTGAATCTAATCCTTATGCAGTGTTTTCAAGTATTTTTAAGTCAATAATATACATATATACATTTATTTATACTCCTGTTTTTCATAAACAGATATGAATATAGACTATTACAGTAACCATGTAACTGTGTGAGCTTAACAACTACTAATCACATAATACAGTTTTAAGTTGTCACCTTTTGGTGTTAACAACACATCCTTGCTTTTTTGTAGGCGGTAAAAAAGTAATTCCTGGATTATTATAGTAATACATCCCAAAGGTAAATGTAATTATGTATTCAGGTAAAAGTCATCAATGCTTAACACAAATTGATACTTCTAAATAAAATTGAACACATATTTATTTAAACTGGCAAATGAGGTATAAGTCAAAGAACTTTCCAATGCAATTTTTTAAGAAGGCACTCACACCTAAATGACTCTTTTTTCAATTAAAGTCAATATAATCATGTCTTCCCTAGCCTAATTTTACAAATATGAATCATTTTAATTAATACTTTGTCAACATAATTTCCCATTCTTAATCCCATAGATCTTTATTTCTAAAAACCACTTCTTAAACATTACTACCTCCGTCCCGCTATGATTGTTCCATTTTACCTTTCGGTCCGTCCCACTAAGATTGTCTCATACCAAATTTGGTAATGTTTGTGTGGCTCTAAAACGTTTTTACTTTATTCTTACTTTATCAATTCAATATCAACCACATAAACCACTTTTTATTAATTTGCGTGTCACTCCCTCTTGTCCCATTGTTAACGGGATGGAGAGAGTAACACTCAAATGACTAATGTAAAAAAAGTGCACTATCAACTGTCTTTATTATGTTGCTGGCATGATAAGAATTTCATCTTCCAACTAATATTATACGATAACAAATGTCATTATCATTACTCACCTGCATATGTTTTCAAATTCACACACACCTTTTTCATTTCATGAGGCCAGTACACACCTAATTGCATCTAGTAGAGCCTAAATCATTTGCCTAACCTTGAAGCAAGATTAATCTAAGCCTTATTCATGTCTTTTCAAGTGTTTTCAAAACAATATAGTACATATTTATATACAGTTATCAACACTATATTGATGCCTATTGTGTCACGCCCCAAACCGCATAGTACATATCAGTATATATACACTTGGAAATACCCGACCCGTAGGTCATTATTTATTTGTGAAATTAGTAGTAGTCAATATCCTTGACTCAAACTCAACCCACCCATATACCTATGAGTGTGTAGGTCTCCTCCTAGCCCTAATCAATTGATATTCCGAGTTTTGAGGACAGTATCGTCGTCCTTAGGTTCTCCACCATTCATATACCAAGGTTTGAGGACAGTACTGTCATCCTTGGATCTCCAGCGGTTATACATTTGAGGTTTGAGGCCAGTACCGTCGTCCCTTGGTCTCCACCGTTTATACAATTGAGGTTTGAGGACAGTACCGTCGTCCCTGGGTCTCCACCGTTTATATATTTGAGGTTTGAGGACAGTACTGTCATCCCTGGGTCTCCACCGTTTATATATTTGAGGTTTGAGGACAATACCGTCGTCCCTGGGTCTCCACCGTTTATACATTCATTCCTATGATCTACCACATATCATACATAGATAGGGTCTACATCATATTATTGTCAAAGACTAAACCAAGCCTTAGAATCAAACCATTAGGTATCAAACCTTGACATTTACATCATACTCCATGCAATTCCATGCACAATATACTTATATAGGATGTCCGGGGTGAATACCCCCTTTCGAACCGGGCCCGAATCACATTTTTAGCGAAGTCGGAACCCGGTGGCAGTAGCTTATCGCATATTCCCACTTTGTATACTAAATATATTATATATCCTTCTCATCTTCAATAAAGTTTGATAAATGTTCCCCTACATTTATCACACCTAACAAGGTGGCTCTCGGGACTTAACAAAAACCAACGTTGGGTATGTGTAAATTTTCCCAGATCGGCCAGGCAGCAGCATAACCGGCGCCGGTTCGGCCCTATGGCCGGCGCCGGTTCACCGTCTGCCCAACGGCGGCGGTCCGTTGACCCCTCAGATGATATCCGATCGGTCCGAAACTTTTATACAACATGTATTGGGTCATAAACCACCATAACATTCCATTTTAACCACCCAAAACATCACATATGTTTTTATACACATTTTATACTTTTAACATGCATAATCATGTAGTATCATCCACATAAACCAACTTACTTGGGCTAATAGCATGCTTAAGTTCCTTCAAACATCATTATGAATACTTATAACATTTCTTTAGGTAATCTTATACTTAACCCAATAGTTACAAGACATTAAGCCATCCACTCACCTTGAATGAGCTTTAAGAAGTTCTACCCTTCCCGGTTGGTCTCTGGCGAAGCTCCGGCGAACTTTGACAACTCCGGCGAACACTCCGGTGACTCTTTCAACTCCGTGAAAGCTCTAGGAATACCCTATACATGTGTTCATAACAAGGTTTTATCATCACAAAACACATATCAACACAAATAACCTCTAAAAGGTTATTTTCCGGCGAACCGGTCACTTTGGCTTCTAAGTCCGTTCTTGAACTTAGAACTACCTTCCAACCCCTCATTCTAAACTTCTAACAATGTAGAGCTTTCTTAGGGGTTCCTCATATGCTACATAAGCCATGTGGTAAGCTAAAGAGTAGGGGAAGGTTGTTATAAAGTTATTACCAAAGTGCAAAGTACAGTGTTAATATGGTATACATGTTATATAATTATAAAATTATATAAATTCATAAAATTATAATTCGGTTCGGTCCGGTCCGGTACCAGTTCTCATTTTATGAGAACCGGTCATGGCATGGTTTGGAATCGGTCCGGTTCGGTTCGGGACAAAATTTTTTAGAACCGTTTCAAATCCCATTTTCCGGTTCGGTGCCATGCCAGTTCGGTTATTTTGCCCATCCCTAATTTAGTCAATGAGGTTCCTCCACATGCTCTAGTTCCTGAAATCCAAACTATCTCAAATTCGGAGTTGCCTCCATCTTTTTCCATTGAGAGGGATCCGCGAAAAAGAAAGCAAATTCACGAATATCATGTCAATGTGCGAGATGAAGTGAGACGTGCATATCTAAATGTTGGGCCTTATCAACCGAGAATGAAAGCTTATCTAGTTAAAAAGTTTGGAGCTCAAAACCGAAATTTTCAGAAACACTGGTTTGACAAGTTTAATTGGTTAGAGTACTCACCTGTGACTGGAAAAGCTTACCGTTTTTTCTGCTTCCTTTTCTTGAGTGACATTCATATGCATACTACTTCTGCATTAGTTAATGAAGGATTTCAAAGTTGGAAGAGGGTAAATCAAGGAAGTCAATGTGCATTTCTTCAACACATTGGTATTTCAGAAAAATCACCTCATATGATGTGTGTTCAAAGAGCTGAAAAGTTAAGGCAACCATCTGGCCATATTAAGAATGTTTTTCACGCCCAATCTCAACAAGAAAAGGAGAAAAATCGTTTGCGATTGAGAACTTCTATTATAACTGTCTGATGGTTAGCACTCCAAGGTTGTACGTGCCTTTAGAGGTCGTGATGAATCTGTAACATCATCAAATCGGGAAAATTTTATTGAACTAGTGAAAGCTTTTACGACTATGAATACCAAAGTTCATGAAGTTGTACTTGATAATGCTCCTAAAAATGCTTAGTACATTACTCCCGAGATTCAAAAAGAGATCTTGAATAATATAATGGCGAAT